TAATTTTGTTTAGTACACTTAATGTAACTGACCATCTAAAGACAGTAATTTAGCAAGAGGTCTGTTGAAACGGTACACAACGGACTTTTCAATGCTCACATTGTCGATAAATCACCAGCGCACCCATTTTCCATTATTCGGACTGGGTTGTTAGAGTGCATACTGTGATTCCAATTGGTCTCTATTTATTACAGAAAATACAAGCACTATCACTTAAGAATGGCTTAAATAACTGCAGTGTGCCTAAACTGTACAACATACAGTACCACGCGAAAAAAACAACAACAGTATATTCATCACCTGAATGTGATTATTAGTCCCCAAAACGTCACTGAAATAAAAACACTGAAGCCTTGGTGCAGCTTTTGTGCTATTGCAAGCCCAGCTAGGATTAGCATATGTAAAGCAAAAGCACTGAACCAACTCTACGCCCATCCAACACTACGAAACGAAACGGAACGAAACAAAAAGATGCACACCCACCTCCAAGAGAAAAGACAAAATGAATGACGCTTTGCCACAGAAACCTCAGCCTCTGGGTTTCTCTCTGTGAAGCGGACGTCTTTTGTACGAGCATGAGATTTACTGAAAGTTTCTGAAACATGCTAAGAGCATCTGACATAATATTCTACAGCAGGTACTGAGTTTTTTTAAATACCGGAAACCGTTGGTTAGGCTTTCACTAACACATTGACTAATTACATGGTTTTGTCTTATTTACAAAATATCAAAAAGCAGTTGTTGTCTTCCATACCCATGATTCCAAATCTTGCCATGCAGAATAAAGAGGAAAAAAAGTGATCGGAAAGAGTTTTTTCTCAAAATTCCTGTAGCAAATCAACCTAAAACATTGTGTGCAAGGAATATACATTAAATCATTCTCAAAGCTCAATTTAAAAAGTAAAAGTGCAGGGATGTGTCCATACAGAGCTTAAAGAAAATGCAAATGCAGGCCAGGATTCCCTCGGATAGGACAGAAAAAGATTAAATAAATCAGGAACTTGTATTGAGATAGCTGTGATACTATACTACACTGAATACCACCACAATAAGATGTCGGTAGGGAAGCCTTGGCAGGTGGAAATGAAGCGGACTGTCACGACAGACACCGGATATATTTGTATCTATATTGTACATATATTGTATAGTTGTTTAGTTTTCAGTGTTTTCCGCATTTTTACGCATGGCTCCTTAGGTAGGGGGAACATGAGCGTCCCTATTGGCAGAGGGATGTGACTGTGCGTGGGTGGATTTGTCATTGTGTGAGTTTGTGTGTGTGTGTGTGTGTGTGATGGTAAGTAGTGTGTACTGTGTGCTCAGGAGGATCAGTAGGTGGAGTCGTCCCACTCCAGCTGCTGCTGTCTGCTTGAACCCTGCTGGTCTTCCTGTTCGCCACCCTCGTCCTCACTGCTGTCTGACTCTGCGCTAGTGATGTCGTCTTCCTCCTCTCCATCCTCGCTATCTTCCTCTTCCTCATCTCCTTCCTCTTCGCTGCTGTGCTGATCCTCGTAAGTCTAAGAGGAAGAGAGAACTGGACCTTCTTTAAACTGCATAATAGATTTATTCAAAAGATTTGAGTTATGAGCAATCAAATTCTTATTATAAAAACAGGGCCCAAACCTTTTTGTCAACCGAACCCCTAATGTAAAATATTTACTTGAAGCACCCCATGAGATTTTACATTAATATTTCAATAACTTTATGACACATCTGCATGTTCACTGATGTTGGTTAATGTCACATGCTATGAAAGTAAACAGATAAAATATCTAACCTTTTTAGTAAGTGTTACTAAAATGTAAAATTTTTTGATTGTTTTTATTTTAGAATACATTTTGTTTATATAGAGATTTGGCTAAAAAATCTATTGTGATTTTGACGTCATATATTGCAATTTTGTGCAATTGCAATTTGACCTCTGGTAAAGTTATAATATATAATATAATAAACATACATACATACATACATACATACAGTGATTATCGTACATTATAATATAAGCTCTAAATAATAGTGATTATATCATATTATACAGTGATTATTGGATTTTTAAAACATTATTAAAAAATATATTTAAAAAAATTAATTAAAATGAAAATCAAACTAATGATTTCAAAAGTGAACCAATAATTTTATTCCAAGCCTCTACAATGGAAGTCCCTGCTTTATGAATCACATCAAATTATCTCTCTGTAACGGCAATATCACTGAAATGACCTAATTTAGTACTTCTTACAGCAACCAGAATGCAAAAAAATAGCTGTTTACTTGACTGAAAATCCATATTAGTGGACAAATGAACGGGAGGAAGGATGGTAATAAAGGGGCATTTTTACAACAGTACATCGAGTATTTTTGATGGGTTTAGGCCTCTGCTGCATTAACTATGCATGAGTGTTCTAAGAGCGCTGAGCGAGCAAGCTCTGTTCCTTTTAGAACGCACCTCCATTGGGTTGACGGTGATGGTGAGGGCAGAGTCATCCCAGTCCATCTCGTTCTCTTTGCCGTTTTCCTGGTCCCTCAAGGTGCCCTGGTGGGCAGCACGGATACGGAAGACGCCAAGGATGATCATAAACACCAGGAAGCTCACGCACACAACAATAACGATGGTGGCTGCGCTGGGGACAACTGTGAAGAGTGGATGGACACAGATTAGCATTTGGTATTTAGGGTGATAAAAACCTAAAAGAGGTTGTCTGAGGTGCCCCTCACAGGCTGTCCAGATGTTGTAAACAGCACTTGTATATAATCCCTAAAAGTGCGCCATTAAAAACAGGCTAAGTACACGGCGCTCCATAACTGCCCTACTTTTTAAATTGACTTTAAGCTGCGGAAAAACTCATGGAAAGAAATTGAATTCAGGTTTGAGCTCGACATTAAACAGCTTATTCATTTGATAACAAAGTCTGGATTATCTTTAATGAGAGATTAGTGCAATAATCTAGGAGAGATACTGTGAGAGATGAAGCAGCCAATGAAACGCCTTTATCTCCAAGAGAAGCTGAACAAATGGGGGGGGAATTGGGGGGGAATGGCGGGATAAAGAAGAAATACCTGAGGCCTGATGCATGTTAGCCAGGTTGTGTCCAGACAGGTCCACTGAAGCATGCTGTACTTGGTTGATGAACTGAGGCTGTACCATAGCGTTGTTAGCATGATCCATGGGGTTGGCTGTATGGATCACGTTGACCTGATTACATAAATAATAAAGACGGTCACACAACTGGCATCTGCATAGTACAACACAATACAGTTTGCTACAGAATCAGTCTCTTTATATCCTTATTTGGCTTATTTTGATATAGCCTTGTATACAGCATTTTTATATTAACAGAACCCTTAAAAAAACATTGATTTTTAGCATTTATACATATAATGTAAATTCATATAATAAAAATGTGCATTAGACCATATATAAAATAAAAAAATAAAAGCTAGAAAATGATTTATATAATTATTTTTTTTCAATTTACACACTACAGTTGAAAAGTCTGGTGTCCATTTTTTCTTTTATGTTTTTAAAACAAGTCTCTTGTAATCAAGGATGCATTTATTTGACGAAAAATACAGTAAAAACAGCTTTAAAAATATTTGTTTTCCATCTAAATATATTTGAAAATGTAATTTTTTCTTGTGATGGCATAGCTGAATTTTCAGAATCATTACTCCAGTCTTCAGTCACATGATGCTTCAGAAATCATAAATAATAGTTATTATTATTAGCAATGTTGAAAACAGTTGTGCTGCTTAATATTTATGAAGAAACGTTTTTTCAGGATTCTTTGATGAATAGAAAGTTTAAAAAAAACATTATTTCAAAATAAATCTTCTGTAACATTATAAATGTCTTTACTGTCACTTTTTATCTATTTAATACATTGTTGTCAAATAAAAGTATTAATGTCTTAGTACAAAAATCTTACTGACCCCAAACTTTTGAAAGGAAGTGTGTATATATACAGTTAACTGTAGTAAATATAACTGTAGGTATATAGCAGAAACTATGGTTTTAGTGGGACATTTTAGTGAAAGTAATAAATAATTGTTTACATTGAGGACAGTGTGTGTGGTCAGCTATACCTCGACTTTGAATTCATTGCTGATGTAGCGGCCATTGAGTTCAGAGCAGACAAGTTTAAACTTCCTGTCAAACAGAGCCTCTGTGTGCCAGTTCCTGTAGCGGATCAGATGCAGGACCTGTTCATAGTTCGCCATGGTGTTAACCCCTGTGGACAGAGACAAACTTTAACTATTTGTCAAGATTACAGTACTGAAGCTTTTAATACCATTAGATCAGCCATTCAGCAAGATGCTGGATATAAACTACCATGAACCAAACTCACAAATATAATCCAAAAAATGTGTGCGAATATATTGCAGTTTTGTTGATGTAGATGGATGAGTACCTGTGATGACCATGCCCACGTTGGAAGAGCTCATCTCCAGAGCTCTCTGCTGGATTTGGGCCAGATCCACCTCCAAACTCTCATGATCTCCATTCAGTTCATCTCCCACCACAGTCACCTCACACGTGTCCAAGTTATGCATAATCTCCTCAGATACCACAGTCTCTTGCACTGCCAAAAAACAAAAACCATCCGTCAGTAAATTAGAGCAGAACCTCTCCATTTGATTACATTTAATCTCGGAAAGACTTGAATGTTCAAAAACAGCCCACCATGCAATTTTATGGCAAATATCGATTGCAAGGAGCAATCTGTAAGAAATACTTACAATGCACTAAAACATAAAATAAAAAACATTAGCTAAGAGAAAACGTCTTAAGACTTTCTTTTCCTAAAGCATAAGCTTTCATCCCAGAATCTATTATATAGACAACATGAGTATTTCTGCCACTTATTTGAATATAAACATGTATTGAATATAACATGTACCAAAATATTGCTCAAATAAACTGTTTAACCATTTGCATTTCCATTTAATATGCTGTTCCAAATCAATATAACATCCTCTCTTGTGTACAACACGAATGTCATATAGATTTGGAATAAATTATGACAGAATTTTCATTTCATGGGTAACTTGTCCCTGTAAAATTCCTCTTGTGGCCAATGTGGAAACTACTCCTGGTCAATCTGCTTACAACTTCTTTTCTCTTTCATGATCCATTTCCCGTCTCTCCACCTTTCTCAGCAAAACATGTTAATCTCACATTCCCAGCGTACCTGTTGGATCATCCTCGCCTCCGGCCTCGGTCTCAGCTTCCACCTCCACCTCCACCTCACGGGTGATGGTGCTGACGATGCGCAGCTCAGGGAAGAGCGTAACGCCTTCTGTGCTCTCAAATTCAGCTGCTCCACGGGCAAAATGGTCAATTCCACTGAGGCTGATCTTTGGCTCCTCTGGCTGGAGAACCATGACGTAGCCTTCAGAGTCAGGCACGGAAATGCACGTCTCCTCATTGAAGCATCTGAAGAATTACAAAGGAATGTAAATTATAATATATTCATCATTATGAGTGTGCTAAAAGTATGAAAAGAATCATTCTGTTTCATTATTAGCTTTTCCATATACTGTGTTATTCTGGAGCAATAATGTTTCAAAGTGGGCGGGGCTAGCTAATGTGAAGCAGCTGAACTGAAATTATGGAAACTAACTTGACAGTGGTGGAGACGCGCAGATGGCGGATTCCTGGGGTGGGGAACTGCCGGGAATTTAGGTAGGAGATGTGCTGCATGACCTTCTCAAAGCTCTCAATGTCATCTCCCTCCAGAGTCAGAGAGGACTGGTTGGGGTTAAACTCCACCTAGAGAGAGAAAGAGAAACATATATCCATTTGATTAACCTTGGGAACACAAATTAAGACATTTTTTATTAAATCTGCTAAATATGTCGAGCATTGTATTATTATATACTTTATTATAATAAAAATTATAATAAGATGAACTTGGATAAACCATATATTGCCGTAGTCGTGTGTTTATTAGTCACGTTGAATTAATGAAAGCAGTTAAATCTTCTGTTTATTCAGCAACAGCTATAGGGATTTCCTGGGTTTCTTCTGCCAGGCGCATTTGGAGTTTCAGCGCGAGAGCGCCCTCTGGCCTTCGGATGGAGATTTACTACTGATCACAGAACCGTGCTTCACTGAAACATACGCATGACACGTCAGTAAATTAGAGCAGAACCTCTCCATTTGATTACATTTAATCTAATCTAATAAGACTTGAATGTTCAAAAACAGCCCACCATGCAATTTTATGGCAAATATCGATTGCAAGGAGCAATCTGTAAGAAATACTTACAATGCACTAAAACATAAAATAAAAAACATTAGCTAAGAGAAAACGTCTTAAGACTTTCTTTTCCTAAAGCATAAGCTTTCATCCCAGAATCTATTATATAGACAACATGAGTATTTCTGCCACTTATTTGAATATAAACATGTATTGAATATAACATGTACCAAAATATTGCTCAAATAAACTGTTTAACCATTTGCATTTCCATTTAATATGCTGTTCCAAATCAATATAACATCCTCTCTTGTGTACAACACGAATGTCATATAGATTTGGAATAAATTATGACAGAATTTTCATTTCATGGGTAACTTGTCCCTGTAAAATTCCTCTTGTGGCCAATGTGGAAACTACTCCTGGTCAATCTGCTTACAACTTCTTTTCTCTTTCATGATCCATTTCCCGTCTCTCCACCTTTCTCAGCAAAACATGTTAATCTCACATTCCCAGCGTACCTGTTGGATCATCCTCGCCTCCGGCCTCGGTCTCAGCTTCCACCTCCACCTCCACCTCACGGGTGATGGTGCTGACGATGCGCAGCTCAGGGAAGAGCGTAACGCCTTCTGTGCTCTCAAATTCAGCTGCTCCACGGGCAAAATGGTCAATTCCACTGAGGCTGATCTTTGGCTCCTCTGGCTGGAGAACCATCACGTAGCCTTCAGAGTCAGGCACAGAGATGCACGTCTCCTCATTGAAGCATCTAAAGAATTACAAAGGAGATAAAGCATAATACATTCATCATTATAAGTGTACTAAAAGTATGAACAGATTACTTTTGTTTCATTATTAGCTTTTCTGTGTTATTTTGGAGCAATAATATTTCAAAGTGGGTGGGGCTTGCTTGAGTGATAGAGCTGAACTGAAATGATGGACACTAACTTGACAGTGGTGGTGACACGCAGATGGCGGATTCCTGGGGTGGGGAACTGCCGGGAATTTAGGTAGGAGATGTGCTGCATGACCTTCTCAAAGCTCTCAATGTCATCTCCCTCCAGAGTCAGAGAGGACTGGTTGGGGTTAAACTCCACCTAGAGAGAGAAAGAGAAACATATATCCATTTGATTAACCTTGGGAACACAAATTAAGACATTTTTAATTAAATCTGCTAAATATGTCGAGCATTGTATTATTATATACTTTATTATAATAAAAATTATAATAAGATGAACTTGGATAAACCATATATTGCCGTAGTCGTGTGTTTATTAGTCACGTTGAATTAATGAAAGCAGTTAAATCTTCTGTTTATTCAGCAACAGCTATAGGGATTTCCTGGGTTTCTTCTGCCAGGCGTATTTGGAGTTTCAGCGCGAGAGCGCCCTCTGGCCTTCGGATGGAGATTTACTACTGATCACAGAACCGTGCTTCACTGAAACATACGCATGACAATCGCAGCTTCTGCCTAATCGCAATTTATCGCCTTTGCAATTTAATTTCAATTAATCGTGCAGCCCTAATTTGTGTTTTAAATAGTAACCAAAGTCATGAGATCTTTGAAATCATGACAACTCTCAGAAGATTTTAGCATGGTAATGGAAATGACAATGTTAATGTATTTGGTCTTGGCGGAACAGATCTGCTACACTGCTGAATTGCTGCTGCTGTTGGTTATTGCTATATTTGTAGATTATTGCTGCTGCTGCCAAGCAAGTACAGGAACTTGCTACTGCCAATGCATATGCTGATACAGTGCTGTGAATATTTAAGACATACTGCTGCTGCACAAATAGCATATATAATAACCTGTAGCATAACTATACAGGTGGAGCTGGGGAAGGTGGAGGGTTTCAGAGGAACTCTGAAAGCGTGCTGCGAAACGCTCTAGTGCAGGGGTAGGCAAGTTCGGTCCTAGAGAGCCGCAGTCCTGAAGAGTTCAGCTCCAACCCTAATCAAACACACTTGAACAAGCTAATCAATGTCTTCAGGATTACTAAGGCTATAGGCAGGTGAGTTTTTTTTCAGGGTTGGAGCTGAACTCCGCAGGACTGCGGCTCTCTAGGACCGAACTTGCCTACCCCTGCTCTAGTGAATGCTAACCAGCCATTTAAATGTTACGCAGTAAGCTCACTGGCTGCGTATGCAACATGAATCAGCTTTTGCTAAGTTGTTTAACACTGTGAATATCATCAGTTTGTGTTAACGATCCATCAGTCTGCACCATCTAGAGTTTCATGAAAGAAATTGGCATTAAAAATAATTTTTGGGAATTGAAAATCTTAAAAATATTAGACGAAAAAATTACTAAAACTAATCTGACATAAAAAAAGTAAGTAAAGCTATTAATCAACATTAATATAAAAACAAAAAAATTACAAAAGCATATATCAAAATGACTAAAAATTTTACTTGATTAAAACTAAAATTAAAACTGAAAATATAAAAATAAATATCAAATCAAAATATTAATAAACACTATAATGGTCATAAAAAAACAACTTGCCCCTTTTAGACTTGCACTGTATTTATTTACTAACTGCTTGTTTTCTTTAAAAAAAAAAACTAACACTTGCTTCTCTAAAACTTGATTAAAACTAAAATTAAAACTGAAAATATAAAAATAAATATCAAATCAAAATATTAATAAACACTATAATGGTCATAAAAAAACAACTTGCCCCTTTTAGACTTGCACTGTATTTATTTACTAACTGCTTGTTTTCTTTAAAAAAAAAACTAACACTTGCTTCTCTAATCTTTCTGTATTCTATCTATTTGTTCTCTTTTATTTATTATACAATTAACAAAAGCAAAAAAGGCCTCTAACACTAGCTTGCGCTATTCTTTTTCTATTCTATCTGTTTTCTTTTTATTTATTATATGATTTTTAAAAAAAAACTCACTACGTGTACCGCGTTAAGCTAACTGAGACTTGTTATAGCACTTGCATATCATTGCTCTTTTGTTGATTTTGATTGCTTCCATTGTCCTCATTTGTAAGTCGCTTTGGATAAAAGCGTCTGCTAAATGTCTAAATGTAAATAAATAATACTAAAATAACACTGTAGAATACCCATGAGTTATTTCTCAGAGATCATAAGTTTTGATGCTTTCACAAGGCATTATGGTCATCAGTCTCTTTAAAACTTCATTTACATAGACCACATTACTCATTCACATTTCTCACCTTCACAGCAGAGGCTACTTCCTCTGGAAGCTGCACATCAAGACCTTCCTTGCAGGTGTAGAGGCAGTCGATAACTTTCTTGTTCTCCAGTTTGCCAGAGCGGATCATGAGTCCAGCCAGGTTTCCCCGGAAGTACTGAGTCATGAGGGCGCTGCCACCTACACAAACCCGGGGGGAGACAGAACCTGTTAGATACCAAACGTATGCTCTGCTGAGCTCAAGCATGCTCAGTGTGCACAGGCCGTGTGACTGATGTCATGCATGTTAAGTGTTCAGTGCTGGTGCCGGCCGGTGCGTCACACAGGATGATGGATGGCCTGATTCAGGCCTGCGGCCTCATGCAACTTTTGGTGGGACAAAAAAGGCAAATTAATGGGAATGAACAGAAAGTGGCACATAAAACATGATTGACTAAATCTACACATATTTGCATATTTCTAAATGGTTTAGTGGGGTAATGCTATGTGTTTTTTAACTGTCTTGTTATCAACATTTAAGGAATAGGTGACCCAAAAAGGAAAATCTGGTCATTCTTTATGCCGTTCCAAATGCCGTATGGGGCTATTATTTCATAAAACATACAAGTAGAATTTTTTTGAAAAATCTTATGCTGCTCCTTCTATAGCATGTCTGTTAATAGTGACCACACATCTGTCAAGCTCCAAAAAGACATAAAACCCACCAAAAAGCATCATAAATACAGTCTGGAAAGAAAAAAAAAAGGAAAAAAAATAATTTCAAAAGTTCAGAGTCAGTAAGATTTTTTAATGTTTTTGAAAAAAGTCTCTTATGCTCATTAAGGCTTCGATTATTTGATCAAAAAATTAAGTAAAAAAGTAATAATATGAAATATTACTAAAATGTAAAATATCCATTTTCTATTTTAATATATTTTAAAATGTAATTAATTCCTGTGATGGCAAAGCTGCTTTTTTTTCACATGATCCTTCATAAATCACACTAATTGTGCTGCTTAATATTTCTGTGGAAACGGGATACATTTTTTAGGATTCTTTGATGAATAGAAAGTTCAAAATAAAACCATTTATTTGTAATATTTGTAATATTATAAATGTCTTTGCTGTCATTCTTGATCAATTTTATGTCTTTGCTGAATAAACATTTTAATTCAATAAAAAAATCAATCTTACTGGCTCCAATGTTTTGAACTGTAGAGCATATTATTTATTTAATTTTTTTATAATTTATTATAAATTAAGAAAATAATTAAGAGAAAAATGTGTAATTCTTTTAACTTGGACAAATGAGTCAAATTGACTATTTTACAATGATTTTTGCTTTTTTTTGGAGCTTGACAGTTTTATGGAAAAGCACGGTGTACAAATTTCACAAACATTTGAAACAATTTTCATTTCTGGGTGAACAGTCCCTTTAAAATGAAAATGAAAGCATAGTATGTTTCTAGCTGTGTGCAATGTCCTCTCTAGAGTATGACTGTGTCTGAAGGACAGAGAGATGCAGGAGCAGTCAGAATGACCTCAGCAGTAATGTGACACTGAGTGATGCTGTAAAGCAGCTCTCAGAGGCAGCAAGGTCACACAGTGAGAAATGAGACACTGTCTGCTGCACTGATACCACTGGCATAAATAATCCTGCAAACTGCAGCAAGGAATGCAGCCAAACCCTCTGATTTATCATAAAACATGCAGATCCCTAAGGTCAGTTGGACTTGTTTTGCTTCTAATATACTGTGTGCTGTATACTTCTCCAGATCTGGAAGCAAACTGAAATTAGATGGAGCTAGACTGATGAATTAAGAAAACAGAATGAAGAACAAGTCAGGCAGGGTATATGACATGGCGTCTCTCAACTCTGTCGCATTATGCTACAAATGTTATGCCATTGCAGACTGAAGCTGTGCATAAACGGTCCTCCTGCAGCCATACGTCAAGCTGCAGAAGAACTGCACATGCACAGGGCGTTAATAGACGTGCTCTTTTGACATATTGGGGTGATAAGGAAAGACAAGGGCAACCTGTCAAAGTCTCTGAGAGAGTCTCAGTATCATTGTCATGTCCTGAGAGGTCTGTGGAGGCAAGACAGAAGAGCAGGGAAAGACCAGGGCTCAATATAGTCAAGGGAAATAAAGTCACTTGATACATGGTGTCATGCATTATAGAGGCCAAGAAAGAATTCTAATTCTAGAGAGCATTTTATTGAGCAAATATATATAAAACACTATATAAATATTTTATATAAGTATTTAATTCAACTGATTAAATGTAACTTATTTAAAAAATATTGAATACAACTACCAATTCTTATTAACAGTGTTGGGGAAAGTTACTTTTAAAACTCCTTTTACTAGTTACTTTTACTCCATAAAAAAGTAACTAACTGCGGTACTTAGTTACTTTTTATGGAAAGTAATGCATTACGTTACTTTTGCATTACTTTTTGTCACCTGAGCTGGGCTTGCTTAATAATTTTTAATAACAAAAAAACAAAAGTTATATTTTTGAAAACTGTAAAGGCCCTTTCACACCAAGAGTGATATTATTAAGCCTCAGGCTGATTCCTAATTTCTCTCAACATGGCGAAAAGGAGAGGTGTTAGTGAATAAATGGTAAAATAAAATAAATTAAAATAAAAAAAGATATTAATGCGTTACTTGACTAGTTACTTGAAAAAAGTAATCTGATTATGTAACTCGCATTACTTGTAATGCGTTACCCCCAACACGGGTTATTAATAATAATACTGTCATTTAATAATAATAACAATAAGAGTAAAATCCCTACATAAACGATAGGGTTTCTGTTCTTCATGCTTGTACCCTAAATAAAAATAATAATAGTAAAATTGTATTTATTTTGTATTAAAATTTTTAGAAGTACACTAGTATAAAAATGACATGGAATAAAAGCCACAAAACATTTTTAGATTAAATGAAGTCTTTAAAAGGTTATCTAATTCCTGACATGTTAAAAATTTCATATTACATCTATGACCGGGGTTATGAAATAAGAAACTCTACAAATTGCGAAGACAAACTACTTACTAATACAGAGCATGCTTAAATTTAAACTGTAGCTGGCGACAAATAGCTTTCAAGTCTAAACCTGAGGTTGCATCATTGTGTGTGAAGAGAATCAATAGATCATTAGTGAGAGTACCTTGCCAGCAGGCGCCGATGGTGAGCTGGGTTTCGATCTTGGAGGCATGCAGAGGGTAATCCTCCGTGACCAGGAAGGGCTCAAAGGTGGCACCATCCACAAACAAAGTCACTGCTGGGAACTCAATGTTCAACACATAGTGATGCCATTCTTTATCACACACCTGGGAGGAGAGATACCAGATCAGGGCCTCGGTTTAACTACAGATTGCATCAGCTAAAGCATTCACAGAAACTTATGCCTTCCTAAATGTACAGTTAAGTTTGCTTAAAGCAGGTATTTTAATGTTTTTAATGCTAAGGACACTCAGTTATGACAATGCTCTAGCAAGCAACCCCCTTCCTAAAATATAATTTGGCAGGCATATATTTTCATGAATAAAAATGCACTTTTACTGGTAGAAAGTCTAATATGGACTATTTAGAAAGAGAATGTTATGGATCAACAGCTTTACTTAAGTATGTTTATGCCCTAATTCAACACATGATGTGACCTATTCACTGCTAGTAGCTAAACATAGCATTTAATAACAAAAATGCATCTTTCAAAACTGAGTGCTTCTGAAGAGGCTCAAGTTGACTCACTTGATCGAGTTTCCAGTGGAATTCAGCTGGTTTGTAGTTCTCGGATTCGGTGGGTTCCTGACGCAGCAGCAGCACTAGACGACAGTTGTGTACGTACAGAGAATAGTGGTGCCTGTTCATCTCTGCAGAAGACAAATATACAAGAATAAAAACCACACTTCTGTCAATACACTTGTTTATCACATGACAGATTGCATGTTACAAATTTGTGAGTTTTTCACACTCAAATGCGGATAAACAGATTTAATGTGCACTGTACACATATCCAAGTATGCATGGATTGCTGCAGCCACACTCTCCTAGAAAACATTTAGCAATTTCCCATAAATGGGGGCATAACTGTGATGTAATCAGCCTTACATAAGGGCCAGCTGATGAGCTTTTTCTAGCACTGGGAATTTAGCTTCAATGACCAGAGAGTGAGATTCCCATTTCACAGAACTACTACAAGCAACCTTTGCATAACCTTCAAAAACATAATGATTTTTTTTTACAGCATTGCTAAATATATTGTTATACATTTTCAAACATTATATGTTTTTCTTTTTTAGTTAATGCATTCCATTCCTTTTAAAGGAAAGAAAACAAAACAATACAGCAATTTGTGTAATGACACGTATTTCAGAATATGTGTGTGCGTGTTTGAATGTAAATAACACTGGAACACTGTATATTTGGAAAAAGATTATAAGTGATTATTTTTTGGAATAGCACACATAACAGACAAATAAAAAAAAAAAAATTACAATAAAATAATAAGAAATGTCTTTACGGTCACATTTGAACAATTTAATGCATCCTTGCTGAAAAATTTATTCATTTCTTAAAAAATTATTGACCCCACACTTTTGAACAGTTGTGTATATTTATGTATATACATTTACATAAAACCAACAAAAGGAATTATTAAAGTGATTATTTTTTGTAATACTCCACATAATGCCTGGTAGATATCATGAGATGAAACTAAAATACAACAATAATAATATTAACAGAAATAAAATAACGGATTAAAAAAATAAAAATCCGCAATAAAACAGTGCGGGCAAGTACATCACTTTTATCCATTATAGTGCTAAATTAAATAAATGTGTTAACAGTGTAAATAACACATTAAATTAATCACATGAAATAACATGATTTTGACAGCCCTACTGAAGTAAAAAGATGAAGAGGACACACAAATAACACATCCCTCTCAGTCCTGTCAGTGTGTGAATGTCATTACCGGTCTTGTCAGAGTTGCAGAGTATGGTCTCCTTCTCCCTGCCTCCAGGTCCGTGTCTCATCCACACTGAGATGGTGAAGGGCTCTTTCAGGGTGGTGCTCACCACACCCTCAGGGACCTTTATGGCCTGGGTGCCATTAAACTCAAACACCTGGTCGCTGTCGTGCCCGTTGTCAGTGGGCAAGCCAACAGTCCAGTTGGCAGAGTTGCTTGGAGTAGGCAACAGCTCCACAGTGCCAGCGCTGGCACCTGGATGGGCACACAAACAGTTATTCATTAGAGTATCCCAAAACATTGTTTGCATCATGGTTCAGCATGTGCCGGTGTGATTATGGAGGTAATACGATTATGTAAATTAGTCTAAAATAGTTTGCACTTGAGTTGCTTAATGTAATAAGCACATTTAATTATCTTGATGTTAATGTAACTCAATAACAATAAGGATGTCTGGACTCACCACACAGCTTGTGCAGGGATTTTTCGGAGTACGTGTCGCGGTCACAACCCTTGCCGATGTGATTAGTCTCCAGCATGATGCTGACCTGAATGGAGGTGATTGGCTCCTCGCAGGTCTCCAGGTGCATGCTGGGGAACAGGGCTAGACTTCCTGTACCAGGCTCATATTCAATCCTTTTATTAAATCCTATCAACATCAAAGAGAAAATGTGTCATTCGCAAAACAGACTCACAACGAGTATTTAGTAACGCTTTACAATAAAGGTTGTACATGCTAATACTAGTTAAGAATGAACAATACTTAATATATGATTTACATATAATAACATTCAAAAGTTTGGGATTGGTATGATTTTGAAAAACAAAAAAAAACTGCTTTTATTTGATATAAAACAAAGTAAAAACAGTATTGTTGTGAAATATTATTACAATTTAAAATAACTATTTTCTATTTTTATACATTTTAAAAAGTAATTTATTCCTGTGATGCAAAGCTGATTTTTTTACTCCAGTCTTCGGTGTCACATGATTCTTCAGAAATCATCCTAATATGCTGATTTGGTGCTCAAGAAACATTCATAATAAAAAGAAATGTCAAAAAGAGTTATGATGCTTAATATTTCTATGGAATTCAGGATTCATTTGATGAATAGAAAATTC